ATAATTTTTAGGGGTGTATTTTTCAGCCAAGAGAGAAGAAAAATTTGGGCAGCCGTGCATTGTTTTGTACGAGAGAAAAAGAAAGAAAGCTAGGGTTTAGTTTTCGGTTTAGCTCTCTTTGGTTAGATCCTTCCAGTCCTACTTTGTGATAGGTGTGTGTGGAAGAGTATTGTTGTAATCCACCTTTGGGTGAAGTCCTGTGTATCCACCAGTCGGTGAAGACTGTTTTCCCATTATTGTGATAGTGGAGATTTGACTATTGTTACAGTCTCGTGATTTTTCCCGATTTGGGTTTCCACGTAAATTTGCGTGCCTCCTTTATTTTATCGAACCTGTCCAAGAACTCCTGTGTCTTGAAGCAGACAGTTCAGGAGCTCGAAAACGACGTCATTCAATACATGTCAAAGCTATGTCCTATCAGGGTTATTGGTCCTTTGTTTAAACATACAACAACAAGTACCAATCGCAACAAAAACGATGATGTTCCAGTCAGCGTCAATGTTCACAGCCGGATCACGGATGTACTGACTGTCACGACACGAAACCGGCGGCCTCGGTTGTCTAGTCTCATTCGGGAGCGCCGTCGTCCTGGATCACGAACAGGTGGTTGAGATGGCGTTCGGGCTTCTCGATTCCGGGCTTTCATTCCTCTGGGTGATGAGGTCAAACTGTATCGGTGATGAAACGAATCCGAAGCTTCCGGAAGGTTTTTGGGAAAGAGTAGGGGACGAAGGGAAAGTAGTTCAATGGAGCAACCAGGAAGAGGTGGTGGAGCATCCTTCTGTGGCGTGTTTCGTGAGCCATTGCGGCTGGAATTAGACGATGGAGGCGCTTTCTTCCGGCGAGCCGGTTATGTGTTTCCCGAGTTTTGGGGATTAGGTCACTGATGCAAAGTATTTGGTGGATGAATTTAAAGTCGGGCTTCGGTTGTCAAGGGGTGAGATCACAAAATGTTTGGTGGAAGCCACCTCCGGTGATACAGGGGAGGGGCTGAAACGAAATGCTTTGAAATATAAACGTGCGGCGGAGGAAGCCGTGGCGGCGGAAGGTGGCTCCTCCACTTTGAACTTGCTGCATTTTCTAAATGACCTCATCGCCGACATTAACTAATTAATTAAGCCACAACTTGTCTGCTTGCAATTTTCTTGCTACCAGCTTTGATTTCGTTTTAGTTAATTTCTATCAGATTAATCAATGTCAAAGTCAATGATTTTACTCTGTAATCTCTCGTACTTTTTTTTTCCCCTAAGTTCTGGTTTGGTTATGGGATTTTTCTATTCGAATATAAATACCAGTAGACATATGACATCCCTAAGTCATGCATCTACTAGAAAGTTTACTGAGTGCCTTTACGGATTTACCCTTCTCATCTTTCAAGAATTTTATTAATTCTCCTTTGCTTATTTTATTAAAATTTTTTGGTTAAGAGTAAAGCTACATTTTCCCCCCTTTTTGGGGGGCTTACGCTTATATCTTTGTGAGTGTACTGAATTTGTAATGTCATTATTTTTCAGCATTTTACTTTCATTCAACTTTTTGTCGCACTAGTTTTCATTACAAAAATGTAACAAAATTAAATAATATTGTACTCACTCAGTCCCAAAATAATTATCTTGCTTGGAATTTAATATTTAGCAAAAACTAGACTAAAATAAAAATTTAACTAGACAATCATTTTGGCATATATCACTATGGACTCGCATTAATTACATGTTAGCCAAAACAAAATGCCGTATACCGTGTAAGAATTTTTCTATAATTAGGAATTACTCCTTCCATTAAAAAAAAGTGTTATTCTACAAGTTGCACACAGTTTAAAAAATACTTAAAGGAGGTAGTCAAATTACTAGAATATCCTCAACTAACCTCATTAAACAAATTCTTGCAAATAATGTTATTTATTTTGAGGATAATTTTAGAAATTTAAGACAAAAAACGCATTGAAATTATAAAACAACACTTATTTTGTAATCATTTCAATTTGCTAAAACTACACTTAGTTTGGAATGTCTGATGATAAATAGTACTCCCTCCGTCCCAAAAAAATAGTCTTGAGTTTTGAGTTTTGTACTGTTTTTAATACAAATTTGAAAATTCAATGTAGATTATTTTTTTTTAAAACGGAAGTAGTAGAATAAGTTGATAATAAATGATGAGTGCAAAATAGCCCCTTTTACTCGCAAGGTTACGAGTTGCAACTGTAGTAGCGGTGAGGGGTGTCGATGCCACGAGGATGTGCAAAATAAATATGTGTTCCTAATGATATGTTTCTTAGTGCAAGTAATCAAAACAATAGAAGTGATTTTTAGAAAATAAAATGCAAACAATGGAATGTTTAAATTAAAAGGATTTTTCAGTTATGGAGGAGATAGGGTTCAATATCAATTTCCAATCCAATTGCTGATTAGCTATTAAATCTATGGTGACAGAATATTAGCCGGTTCACTTTATGGTCTCAAAGCTTCTTCCAAAGTCAGAGAGACATCTCCTTAGTTGCGAACCACCTATATTCCTATGGTAGAACTCAACCATGGAGTCATTACACTCAAGAACTTATAAGACCAACAATGTCATGGCGGTATATATTCCTATCCGATATGAAACCTTGAACTTTTACGTACATGTCATGGCCCAAGTTGACAAACCTAACCAACATAGTCTATTCCTAGATCTATGAAGATTTCATGCACCAAAAAGTATGTCATCAAGGTATTTGCTGGGAATCAATAAGAACAATCAACTTAGATATTCAACTTCACCACAAAGTTTAACAACTAATCAATCAATCTTCATGTACTTTGAAATTGAACCCCGAAGGATGTTTAGCTACTCATAGATGAATAAAAAACTAAAATACAGAGAGAAAACAAGGAGTTCATGTCCACATAGTCGAGAGAAAGAAAACTCTATGAGAGTGATTCGCCGACAACTTCGATCTTGCTCCGGATTGTGTTGTTGAAGTGATCGCCAACCTTTCTTTTGTTGTGTCTCTCTCTATGGAACTCTAGTAGCCTCCTCCAAGGTCTGATAGATGTTTTTGGGGATGTACATAAGGTTTTATTGTGAAAATTCGCGACTCTAGGTCTTTGTAAAAAAATTGCATGAAAATAGGGCTGCATCACTTCGCAGAGTGTGCCTCACTCTGTAGAGTGGTTTGGAAAATTCACATTCAGCAGCACCTCACTCCGTGGAGTGCCCCCCTCGCTGTATAGAGTGGTGCAGGAAGAGGAATGTCAGCTCTTGGTTGCTTTTCATCTCTGAATCACACCTTAGAGTGGTCTCTTCACTCTACGAAGTGCTTAGTGACTTCACCAAATTTTCTTCAAGTGCATAAGTTGTCCTTTTCATCATCTTTCAAGCAGTTTGCTCATATTACTTCTATAAAAGAGATAACAAATAAACCATATTAGGTAGTAGAAAATTCATCTAAAATTATACACTTTATAGCAACCTCAACACTATTTACGAGGTGATTTATATGTAAATTACATTCTTATCAACTCCCCCAAACTTAAAGTTTTGCTTGCCCTCAAGCAAATGACCTTAATCACACATCAACAAGCAAACTTAAGTGAACATTTGACTGTCGGCAATTTGTCTCATGATTGTGCCTTCCCACATATAAGCATATAATATAACGATTACGCCATCATTCAGTTCCACCTCTACCCGGTCCATCCTAGTTGTCTCAGTGTGTGTGTGACATGCCAATCATACAATACCACAAGTCGGCAAAAAGAAACAACTAACATTTGTGTTTTCATTAGTTTCATTATTTAGTACATGATTCACCTTTCATACTACAATAAACTGATGTAATCAGACAACCTAGAGGACATAAGGACTTAACTCACAAAATTTATGCAATTTCAACCTTTCGCCCTCGTAGCCCTTTCTTCAGTCCATATGGCTTTTCTTCAGGATCTTTTCTACTCAGGCCCTTACCGAGAGACGGTAATCTACCTTTTTTTTCTCACCGGCCTGAGGACTCTCCACTCTTAATTGCCAAACCTCACCTCTCAGGGGTTCCACTGCCACATTGGGCAGGGTACCAGGCTTCCCTCACATTAGCTTTTTAACATCCTAGTCTCGGTTTAATCTGCCAACAAACCCTTTTTCCTAAAGGTTTAAGGTTACTTCAAACCACTACCCTCTCATTTCGAGTCTGAGGTAGTGCTTAGGGCTGCCTTAATCCTCTTTTCAACATATAAACAGACCACACTTTGCCTATTGTAGTAATCAAATGAATCAACTTATCTATTTTCACACAAGTATTAGTTATAGCATTAAGTTCAAGTCATTACACTTTACCTAAAGTGATCTCATATTAAAGGCATACAAGTGCTCAGAAGGTGTTGAGACAACTAAAATAGACTAAGTTAAATCAGAACATGAATCGGGTATTTAAATTCATAAACATCATCATCATTGACTACCGACAGCCATATTTTTTTTCTTTTCTGGTTTTTCTTTTAATTTTTTTTTTTTGTATTTTTTTCTTAGCATTACAAAAGGAAACACAAAGCTACACTTAGACCTAGCAACAAACAAAGGATAACAAAGAAATAAAACACACTGGCACTTTCATAAAGTCTCAAGACACTCCCCCAAACTTAAAAGAAAGCATGGTCCTCCATGCTTAAAATAAAGAGAAGGAAGGGAGCTTCCCTGGAGTGGCGAGATAAGGTGGTGGTGGTATGGGAGTTGAAGACGGCTCCTTTTCTTCAACAGGAGCTTTAGAGGCAGCAGCTTGACTACTTGTCACTCTTTGTGCGGAAGCACGACCCTTCATGATCCTTCTCTGACAAGTTTTTTCTCCGATAGAATAATAACGGATAGTGCTCTATGTGAAAAGGGAAAAAAATCAAACCAAACTTCGAAAAAGAAAACGTGGGAAAAAAATTAAAAAAAAATAAAAATAAAATAAAATTGTTTGGGTTGCCTCCCAAGAAGCGCCTATGGTTAACGTCATTGGCCCGATGCCCTATTGCTCTCTAACTTTATGGGGGCCTTGAACATGAACCAGCCATATTTAGAGCACCTTGCTTGTTGCGCCGATGTGGAGGAACATAAGGAGCTGTATAATTCATGTTACCCTCCATAAGGGAACTATTGTACCATTTTGGACCAGGCTTAAACTCTCGAACGCATGGATGTTTCTTAGCTTGCATTATTTTTGGAGTAATACTAGAAGGATCATCCTGTTTAGTACTTTTACCATTCAACTCTCGTTGTTCTTGGACTTGTCGCTTCATTGGCAACTTGGGAGTTTGGTTTAAAAAATTTTGCAGTTCAGCACTTTGTACTTCCTCCATGATCTCCTCATTTTCAGCGAAGCAAATGTCTTGCTGCAAGGGATCCTTCATAGTGGGATGTGCAACAATCTCATCCTTAGCTCCCTCAACCATCTTAATGCAAAAACAAGAATCACATTCAGCCGGATACTTCTTGTCCTTGAAGATATTAAAAGTGATGATATTAAAAGTGACGTTCTCATCATCAAACCTTAATGTTACTTCACCCTTTCTAACTTCAATGAGAGCATCACATGTTGCCAAGAATGGTCGGCCAAGAATAATGGGGACATTATCAACTTCATCCATGTCCAATACCACAAAATTTGCAGGATAAACAAAAGGGCCCACCTTTACAAGTACATCAGTCACAATACCCTTAGGATATGTCATTGATCGGTCAGCAAGTTGAAGAATGATATTTGTCAGAGTTAATGCATCCTTCAGACCAAGACCCTTAAAACTTGACAAGGGCATTAAATTAATGCTCGCTCCCAAATCAAGTAGCGCCTTATTGAAAGAGGTGTTACTAGTGGTGCATGGGATTGTAAAGCTTCCTGGATCCTTTAACTTGAGAGGTAACTTCCTCAAAATTTCTGCACTACATTCTTCATTAAGGGGAATGATTGCTTCATCATGAACACGCTTCTTACTCAACACCAAATCCTTAAGATGTTTGAAGTACTTTGGCATTTCCTTCAACGCATCTACAAGTGGAACATTAATGTGTAGCTTCTCAAGATTTTCTATGAAACTCAACAAACCATTATCTATTTTTTTTCTTGCTGCTCTTCAAGGGGTATGGCAGTGGTGGCCGATAAGGTTTCTTTACCACTATTTCTTCAGCTTGTGGTTCTAAATTTATCTCAACCGACTTATCTTTCTTTGCTTCCTCCTCCATTAATGATTCATCCTTGCTCAAAACTTGCTCTTTGGTGGTTTGCCATTTCTTGTCTTTAGTCTCAATCAACTTTCCACTCCTTAAGGTGATGGCTTTGACTTGCACATGAGTTTTGGGATTAGCCATTGAATCATTAGGCAAAGTACTTAATGGCCTCTCAGATAAAGTCTTAGCAAGTTGGCCAAATTGAACCTCCAAGTTGTGTTGTGATGCTTGTGTACTTGCCACTACAGTTGCAAGTGTCTTAACGATATCTTGCAAACCAGTCATAGAGTCCTCCAACTTTGATTCCTTAGGTGCTGATTGTTGAAAACTTTGAGAATAACTAGGCACAGACAACACCCCTTGATGTTCATTACTACTCCATGAAAATTCAGGATGGTTCCTCCAACTTGAATCATAAGAATTCCCAAAATTTCCTTGCTTAACAAATTTAGCCGTTTCCAGCCGCATAAAACAAGTCGGTAGCATGGTTTCCAGAACATAGCTCACATCTCATCACCAAGCTAGTTCTATTTAAACTAGCTTGCATCATTGCAATTTCATTGGTCAGCGTATCAACTTGAGCTTGAAGATGAGCAATAGAATCCATCTCATAAAAACCATCATTCTTTGGCATTACCCCCTAATCATTTGGTCAATGGTATTGATTTGTTGCTATGTTATCCAACAAGCTTTTAGCATCATCAACTGCCTTCATCATGAATGCTCCCCTGGCTAAAGAATCAAGTGAATTTCAAGAAGCATATGATAGTCCATCATAGAAGATACCAAGCTGCATAAACTCCTCAACTCCATGTTGTGGACACTTCCTCAATAGCTCTTTGAAATGTTCCCTTGCTTCATGCAAAGGCTCATTACCAAACTGCCAAAAAGTCATGATCTCTCATTTCTATAACGTGCAGCCTTGCTTGGAGTGAAATATTTGGTCAAGAAAGCTTGGCAAAGCTGATTCCAAGTGGTGATGGAATTTGAAGGCAATGTGTTAAGCCAAGCTTAAGCCTTGTTCAGCAAAGAGAACGGGAACAACCGCAATCTCACATCGCCATCTATCAGCCCCTGAATTTTAAATGTGGCACAAATTCAAAGGAAATTCCTGATATGCTCATTCGGATCTTCATTTGGATATCCATAGAATGACAAGCAACTTGTAGCCACTCAATCATTTCTGACCTAAGCTCAAAATTCTGAGCATTAACCTCATGGAATACAATTGCAGCTGGAGTTTCCTCGGCTTGAGGGATGAAGTAATCACGTAGCAACCTTTGTGGCTGCCCTTGGCTTCGGTTGTTGTGAGGCTCTCGGTTCTGCTCATTGTTATTGACAATGATTCTATTCTGCTCATCTTGGGTCTACTCTTCGGTATTTCCAGTTCCAAGCCCAGCCATAGTCGAAGCTTTTCTTTCTTTGTTCAGCCGGCAACGAGTCTTCTTCAGGAATGTAGAGTAGTTCACCTGAAGGATTACTCATGGTCATACAATACAAATCAAAGCACAGAAATATGGATGAATCTGATTTTTTTCCCCTAAAATGCAAAACTACAAGCAAAAGAACAAGTAAGCAATAAGTAAGAAAATGCAATTAAAACACAAAATAATCTATGCCGTCCTCAGCAACGGTGCCAGACTTGATGAGTGCAAAACATTCCCTTTCACTCGCAAGGTTACGAGTTGCAACTGTAGTAGCAGTAAGGGGTGTCGATCCCACGAGGACATGCAAAATGAATATGTGTTCGTAATGATATCTTTCTTAGTGCAAGTAACCAAAACAATAGAAGTGACTTTCAAAAAAAAAAATGCAAACTATGGAGTGTTTAAATTAAAAGGATTGTTTAGTTATGGAAGCGTTAGGGTTCAATATCAATTTTCAATCCAATTGTCGATTAGCTATTAAACCTATGGTGACAAAATATCAGCCGGTTCACTTTATTGTCTCAAAGTTTCTTCCAAAGTCAGAGAGACATCTCCTTCGTTGTGAACCACCTATATTCCTATGGTAGAACTCAACCATGAAGTCATTACACTCAAGAACTTATAAGACCAACCATGCCATGGCTGTATATTCCTATCTGACATGAAACCTTGAACTTTAACGTACAAGTCATGGCCCAAGTTCACAAACCTAACCAACATAGTCTATTCCTAGATCTATGAAGATTTCATACAGCAACAAGTATGTCATCAAGATATTTGCTGGGAATCAATAAGAACAATCAACTTAGATATTCAACTTCACCACAAAGTTTAACAACTAATCAAACAATCTTCATCTACTTTGAAATTGAACCCCGAAGGGTGTTTAGCTACTCATAGATAAATAAAAAACTAAAATACAGAGAGAAAACAAGGAGTTCATGTCGACAAAGTTGAGAGAAAGAAAACTCTATGAGAGTGATTCGCTGACGACTTTGATCTTGCTTCGGATTGTGTTGTTGAAGTGATCGCCGACCTTTCTCTTGTTGTGTGTCTCTCTATGGAACCCTAGTAGCCTTCTCCAAGGTCTGATAGATGTTTTTAGGGGCGTACAAAGGGTTTTATTGTGAAAATTTGAGACTCTAGGTCTTGGTAAAAGAAATTGCATGAAAATAGGGTTGTGTCACTCCATAGAGTGACTTGCCTCACTCTGTAGAGTGGTTTAGAAAGTTCACACTCAGCAGCACCTCGCTCCGTGGAGTGCTCCCGTCGCTCTATAGATTGGTGCGGGAAAAGGAATGTCAGCTCTTGGTTGCTTTTCATCTTTGAATCACTCTGTGGAGTGGTCTCTTCACTCTGCGGAGTGCTTGGTGACTTCACCAAAGTTTCTTCAAGTGCATAAATTATCGTTTTCATCATCTTTCATGCATTTTGCTCATATTACTCCTGTCAAAGAGATAACAAATAAACCATATTAGGTAGTAGAAAATTCATCTAAAATTATAAACTTTAAAGGAACCTCAACACTATTAACGGGGTGATTTATATGTAAATTACATTCTTATCAATAAACTTACTATTTATTTTGCATACTCAAAGAACAAGGTAGACAACCTATTTTTTTTAATATATAATTAATAGTTCGAATTTTTTGAAAAGGTTCCTCCATGGTGCGTGCCGAGTTCACCAAAAATATTACTAGCTTAGATTATGAATTTTTGTAGATAATGGAAGCTAGGTCGATCCCACAAGGACAACTAATTACCAAAATTGTTGTAAAAAAAAGACTACCAGTCAGACAAGGTGTCACTCAGGGGAATGGAAACAGTCACTCAGGGGAATGAAAGCCAGGGGTGTTCTTCTCCTCTTCCTACTGTTGTAGTTGTTTTATTAGCACTATAATGGTTGAGTTCTTGTTCATTCAGCTCACTTATAACTCTAAGTCAGTTCCCATTTTTCGTAGAGTCATCTTTGCAACCTTAACAATCTATTTTTCAATGATTGATTCCAGATACAAAGTCATTAAGTTCTTAGGCCTTCAAGAATGCTTATGTTAACTAAGTATATTTCTATCTTAGTTAAAACCATAGACTATTACCTCTATGTCATAAGTTAAAGTTGAAACAATCCAAACCAAGTTTATCTTTCCAGATCTCCCTTAGTTCTAGCATGCATTCAATTTAGTGATCAAGTAAATGAATGTAGAAAAACTTTCAACTTCAAAACAAGGAACAACCAGTGCATTAAACAACTACAACATAGGTTGAGGAAAATAACCCCTGGAAGCTGCTTAGCTACTCATACAGATTAATGCTACATCTACTACATCAAAAGACATCATAGAAGTATGCATAATAAACGAAGTTCAAGCTAACAGTCAAGAGACGAGAAAACAGCTTGTGCAATTTCTGAGCCACTCCTGGGAGTGAAGAGGTTCACTCATGGAACTGAAGCAGAAACTGGGATGGCTACTCTCCAACTTGGCTTCCTTACTGAGTTGTTGTTGCTTCTTCTTCCTTCTTGCCTTCTACCTGGAAGTTTTTCTGTGTGTTTTTGGCAACTCAAAGGGTAACCAGAGATAGATTCCCTTCTGAGAGTGAAGTTCCCCCTTTTATAGGGCCTTGCAGCCGGTTCTTTCATCATGAGAGCCTCCCCATGCTTGTAATTTGTTTAATCCTCCCAAAGCCTTGTGCCTGGAATCCAAGCTTGGCTGTTCTTCTTCTCTTCTTCTAGTAGTGGCAGCATTGCTCTCATTGATC